CACGGTACATAGCCCTCCATGCTCGAGCACTAAGGTGCAAAGAGCATGTTGGATCAACATTTTGCCGACCTGCTTTGGTCGGTCTGTGGAAGACCTTCACGGTACATAGCCCTCCATGCTCGAGCACTAAGGTGCAAAGAGCATGTTGGATCAACATTTTGCCGACCTGCTTTGGTCGGTCTGTGGAAGACCATCATGGTACATAGCTCTCCATGCTCGAGCACTAAGGTGTGAAGAGCCTATCAAATAGGCATTTTGTTGACCTACTTTGGGTCGCAACTTGGGGCGCACCGTTTGACTTGATTTATGTTGATCGTCTAAATTCCGACCTTAAAGTGCTCTTCACACTAAGGTTTGGGTCTTCTAAATTCTAACCTTAAGGTGCTCTTCACACCAAGGTTCGATCGTCTAAATTCTGACCTTAAAGTGCTCTTCACACCAAGGTTCGGATCGTATAAATTACGACCTTAAAATGCTCTTCACACTAAGGTTTGGGTCTTCTAAATTCTAACCTTAAGGTGCTCTTCACACCAAGGTTCGGATCGTATAAATTACGACCTTAAAATGCTCTTCACACTAAGGTCTTGATCGTCTAAATTCCGACCTTAAAGTTCTCTTCACACCAAGGTTGGGGTCGTTAAAATGCCGAACTTAAAGTGCTCTTCACACCAAGGTTTAGATCGTTAAATTTCCGACCTTAAAGTGCTCTTCACACCAAGGTTGAGGTCGTTAAAATGCCGAGCTTAAAGTGCTCTTCACACCAAGGTTGAGGTCGTTAAAATGCCGAGCTTAAAGTGCTCTTCACACCAAGGTTGAGGTCGTTAAAATGCCGAGCTTAAAGTGCTCTTCACACCAAGGTTGAGGTCGTTAAAATGCCGAGCTTAAAGTGCTCTTCACACCAAGGTTGAGGTCGTTAAAATGCCGAGCTTAAAGTGCTCTTCACACCAAGGTTGAGGTCGTTAAAATGCCGAGCTTAAAGTGCTCTTCACACCAAGGTTGAGGTCGTTAAAATGCCGAGCTTAAAGTGCTCTTCACACCAAGGTTGAGGTCGTTAAAATGCCGAGCTTAAAGTGCTCTTCACACCAAGGTTGAGGTCGTTAAAATGCCGAGCTTAAAGTGCTCTTCACACCAAGGTTGAGGTCGTTAAAATGCCGAGCTTAAAGTGCTCTTCACACCAAGGTTGAGGTCGTTAAAATGCCGAGCTTAAAGTGCTCTTCACACCAAGGTTGAGGTCGTTAAAATGCCGAGCTTAAAGTGCTCTTCACACCAAGGTTGAGGTCGTTAAAATGCCGAGCTTAAAGTGCTCTTCACACCAAGGTTGAGGTCGTTAAAATGCCGAGCTTAAAGTGCTCTTCACACCAAGGTTGAGGTCGTTAAAATGCCGAGCTTAAAGTGCTCTTCACACCAAGGTTGAGGTCGTTAAAATGCCGAGCTTAAAGTGCTCTTCACACCAAGGTTGAGGTCGTTAAAATGCCGAGCTTAAAGTGCTCTTCACACCAAGGTTGAGGTCGTTAAAATGCCGAGCTTAAAGTGCTCTTCACACCAAGGTTGAGGTCGTTAAAATGCCGAGCTTAAAGTG